AGAAGAGGGGGTGGTTGGGGGAGATATAAACCACAGAATGTATATGCATATATGCATGAACAGTAGACATGGACAACAAACTGGGGACAGGGTAGGGAGGGAGGGGGAGGGGATAATCAGTGGGGGGGAAAAGGAGAAACATCTGTAACACAAATTAATTTAAAAAATAAAAATAAACATATATATATATATATATATATATAAACAAAAATAAAAAAACAGAGGTGGATTCTCTCACAGTTCTGGAAGATAGAATTCCAAAGTCAGGGTTCACTGGGGCCATGCTCTCTCTGAAGTTTCCAGAGGAGAGGGGAGAACGCTTCCCTGCCTCTTCTTAGCTTTTGGTTTACCTGCAACTACATAACCCCAATCTCTGCCTCCAAGGCCACATAACCTTCTTCCTGTACGTGTGTCTCTCTGTCTTCCCTTCTTATAAGGGCACCAGTCATCTTGGATTCAAGGCCCACCCTAATCCAATATGACCTCATTTTAACTAACTACATTGACAAAGATCCTATTTCCAAATAAGGTCACAGCCACAGGTACCTGGAGTGAAGACTTCAGTATGCCTTTTTGGAGGGTCTGGATAGACATTTTTCCAAACAAGACACACAGAAAGCCAAACAGGTACATTAAAAAATTATGAACATCACTAATCATCAGGAAAATGCAAATCAAAACCATAACAAGATGTCAACTCACACCTGTCAGAATGGCTATTGTCAAAAGAGCAGGAAATAAAAAGTGCTGGAGAGGATGTAGAGAAAGAAACCTTGTGCATTGTTGGTGGGAATATCAATTGGTACAGCCACAGTGGAAAACAGTACAGAGGTTCCTCAAAAAAATTAAAATAGAAATACCATATGATCCAGCAGTTCCACTTCTGGGAATATATCTAAGGAAAATAAAAACACTATCTCAAAAAGATATCTGCACCCCATATTCACGCAGCATTATTTACAATAGCCAAACAATCTAAGTGTTCATCAGTGGATGAATAGATAAAGAAATATAAATTCCAGCCCTGGTCGAGTGGCTTAGTTGGTTGAAGCATCATCCTGTACTCTAAAAGGTTGAAGGTTTGATCCCCAGTCAAGGTACATACCAGAGGCAACTAATCAATGTGATCATTAAACAAAAACTACTATAGCCCTGGCCGGTTTGGCTTAGCAGTTAGAGCATCAGCCTGTGGTCCGGAGAGACCCGGGTTCAGTTTCCGCTAAGGGCACGTACCTCGGTTCCAGTTTGTCCCCTGGGTGGGTCGTGTGGGTGGCAGCCACTCGATGTGTCCCTTTCACGTCAATGTTTCTCTCTCTCTCTCTCTCCCCCCTCCCACTCTATCTGAATATCAAAAAATATCAAAATATCAAAAATATCAAATATTTTGATATCAAAATATCAAAAAATGTCCTCGGGTGAGGATAAAAAACAAAAACATGTATATATAAAATCAGTGCTATGTGGCTCAGTTGGTTGGGTATCATCCTATGTGCCAAAGGGTTACTGGTTCAATTCCCCATCAAGGCACATGCCCAGGTTTCGGGTTTGATCCCCAGTAAAGGATGTGCAAGAGACAGCCAATGGATGTTTCTCTCTCATCAATGTTTCTGTCTCTCTCTCTCCCTTCCTCTCTCTGAAATAAATAAAAACATTTTTTTTTAAAATAAGGAAGACACCTGAGGTCTCTGTGTCTTTCTCTTTGCAAGGGGAGGCCATGTTAGGACATAACCAGGAAGAGGACTTTACCAACATCCCAGCCGTACTGGCACCTTCTAGAATTGTGAGAAATAAATGCCTGTTGTTTAAGCTACCCAGTCTGCAGTGTTTGTTACAGCAGCCTGAGCTGACTTAATCAAGGTTGTGGTGACTGCTCTGGAAAAAAATATAGCAGGGAAGGGGGAAAGGAGTCCAGGGATGGGCGTAGGGAAGAATTTTGAGGGAGGTCACCCTTTAAGGGTGATATTTGAATGAAGTCCTGAAGGAAGTTCAGGGGGAGACATGTAGATATCTCAAGAAAGAGAGAAAACAGCAAGTGCACAGGTCCTGAGGTGGGACAGTACCTGTTGAGTTTGAGAAAGGAGGCAGGTGTGGCTGAGGGAAGAGAGTGAAGGAAGAACAGAGAGAAAGTCAAGGAGGTGACTCCTTTTGTGTCTTCTTAACATTACCCTCCCTCATCCAAATCCTTTACTTTCTTAAGCAGGCTGAGGACAGTGCCCCTGGGATGGCCACTAGAGGCCACCCTCTCTGTGGTTCACTGGGTTACTACACTGTCATCTCACCTTTCAGGTTGAAGCTGGTCTTTGCTGAGCCCTAACTGTCCCTCCCATGCCGCTCTAAGAGTTTAACACGGATTAACTCAGCTCCTCCTTCTAACATTCCTCTGAGTTATACTCACTGAAAAAATTTTACAGCTTTATTAAGGTATAAATGACATACAAGAAAGCACACAAATTTACAGTCTACAAGCAAATAAGTTTACACTTCCTGGAAAGCGTCACCACAATCCAGATACTAAACATATCCCTGACCCTAAAAAGTATCCTTTCGCCCTTTCTAAATTCCTCCCTCTCGCCTCTCCTCACCCCATTCCCGGGCAACCACTAATGGTATTAGGGGGTTGCACTTCTAAAGTTTGATATAAATGGGACCAGAGAGTAGTCACTTATTTTTTTTGGTCTGGCTTCTTTCCCTTAGCAAAATTATTATGAATATTCATTTATGTTGTGACGTGTATTTGAGACCCCTTTTGCTCATGGGGAAACTGAGGCACATAGACGTGTGGCTGGAGAAAAGTGAGAAGGAAGTGGGGAGGGGGTGTCACACACAGATTTGGCCCCAGGCCGAGGCGCGTTCTGGGTGTGCAGCCCACGAAGGGGCGCTCTGGTCCCCAAGGAGACTCCAGCAGGTGCAGACCCGCCCCTGGGCCCCCACAGCGCGCAGCTGGAGGCGGGGCGGGGGCGGGGCTTCCCGGCTCTGGGGCCTCCAATAGGGGCCTGCAGGGGCTCAGCGAGCCTGGGCGCTGCGATAAGGCGGCGGGTGGGCGTGGGAGTCGTGGGGCGCCGCTGCGTCTGGAGGCCCCGGCGCGGCCACCTGGGACGGGAACTGGAGACAAGGCTGGAGGCAGGGGGCGGGGCGTCCGGCAGTGTCACGCCCGCCTTCCTCCCCAGTCTGGGCCGCTAAAATGGCGGCAACGGCGGTGACCGCGCCTGCATCTGGGGCCGACTAGCGCCTTCCAGGACTCTCGAGTCTGGGCCGCGTTTTGGACTCTGGGGCGCTGGTGCGCGGCCCCTGCTCGGGCCTGCGGTCTGCCTGCCCGGCGTGCCCATGAACTCCGTGTCGCCGGCCGCCGCGCAGTACCGCAGCGGGAGCCCCGAGGACGCGCGCCGCCCCGAGGGCCGCAGGACGCGGACGCCCCGAGTCCCGGACCCCAACGGCCTGGCGCCCTCCGGAGCCAGCGGCCCCGCCCTGGGCTCGTCCGGAGCCGCCCCTGGGGAGCCGGGCGAAGTGGACAAGTTCAAGGCGAAGTTCCTGACTGCTTGGAACAACGTCAAGTACGGTGAGGAGGGGGCGGACCCAGGGGAGCGAGCGAGCCGGCGGTTTGGCCAGGCCGGGGCTTAGAGGTCGGCGGGAGACGAGGAACCAGACCCTGCCCTGTATTCCGAGTATCCCACCATTCGTTCTCCTGTGAGTCACCTGTAGGTCCCCCGCCCTACCCAGGGCGGATCTGTGGCAGGTCCAACAGGGAATGGGTTTTCAAATCCTGTCCTTACCCGTGTGACCTTGAGCAGGCTTTTTCACTTCCTTGTGTCTCCATTTTCCCCTCTGTGAAATGGGTTCAATTGTCAGAGTTGCCTTAGTTTGGCCTGAGTTGATGGCAAACATTGGTGTGGCTGTTCCAAGGAGCCCTACTTCCATCTAAGAGGAATATGGCATGGATTCCCCAATGCCACTCCTGAGATGGGAAGTAGGATGGTCCTTATTTCACAGATGGGAGTGCTGTTGCCGTCATAACTATTATGTTAGTATCCGTCATCTTGCTGCTCCACATCTCCACAGGTTGGACAGTCAAAAGCCGAACCAGTTTTAGCAAGATCTCCAGCGTCCACCTCTGTGGCCGCTGCTACCGCTTTGAGAGTGAGGGTGAGCTGGTGGTCCCAGGCCAGGGTTGTGGGAGGCCCCCAAGAGTGTTCTTGGTGGAGTTGACAAGCCTGCTTTTATAGGTGACATTCAGCGTTTCCAACGGGACTTTGTGTCCCGCCTGTGGCTCACATATCGCCGAGACTTCCCGCCCTTTGCTGGGGGCTGTCTGACTTCAGACTGTGGCTGGGGCTGCATGTTACGAAGTGGGCAGATGATGCTGGCACAGGGCCTCCTGCTGCATTTCCTGCCCAGAGGTGAGGGGCGAGAGGGAAGAGCACACCAGGAGTATGAGCCAATCACATAGGTCAGCACTGTTAGAATTGTTTATAACTAAAGTTTGAAGTCATGTTAGAATTGTGTATAAAGTAAGTTTTGCAGGGAAATTAGAGTTGTTTATAAGGTTCAGGAATGTGAAAATTGTTAAACATGGAATCTCAGGAGCATTAGAATTGTATGTAAAACATGAATAAATGAGAATGGTGCTCCCCACACACTGGCACTTGTTAACTATGTACTCCATTCCCACCAGACTGGACATGGGCCGAGGGTGCAGGCCTGGGCTCCCCTGAGCCATCAGGGTTGGCCTCTTCCAACCGGCATCATGGGCTTGCTCCCTGGAAGCCCCCACGCTGGGCCCAGGGAACCCCTGAGCTGGAGCAGGAGCGCAGGCATCGGCAGATTGTGTCCTGGTTTGCAGACCACCCCCAGGCTCCATTCGGCCTACACCAGCTGGTAGAGCTCGGACAGAGCTCAGGCAAGAAGGCAGGTGACTGGTATGGGCCATCTCTTGTGGCACATATACTCAGGTGAGGGCCACGGCAGGGGACATGGGAGCCACTGGGTACCCCAAGAACTCAAGCCTTTCCTCTCATCCCCAGGAAAGCTGTGGAGAGCTGCTCAGAGGTTACCCACCTGGTGGTTTACGTTTCTCAGGATTGCACAGGTAAGGGGCTGTTAACCAAGGTCATGGGGTTTTCATCCTGAGCCAGTCACTACTTCAGCTGCCTCTTAGACCCACCTTTCTCAGAGGCTGAAACAGGTTCTGGGTCAGAGGGACCCTTGGAAAGGATTCAAGGCCTACACAGGGAAAGATGCTCAGGATCCATCTGCTCCCTCTGGATTCAGGAGAAGGAACTTCAGGGGCTTCTCCCCAAGTGATAGAATAAAGGACGTAAGGACTTATTTCTCTCAGATCCAGTTAACTCTTACTCTGTAAACAGTTCTAACATGTACAAAAGTCTGGTCTCTTCTGCCTTATAGGGTTGTCAAGAATTAAATGGTTGCCCTGACTGGTGTGGCTCAGTACTTATGGCATTGGTCCATGCACTGAAGGGTCTCAGGTTTGATTCCCTGTCAAGGGCATGTACCTAGGTGGCAGGTTCAGTCCCTTGCTCCAGTCAAGGTGCATGCGGGAGGCAACCAATGGATGTGTCTTGTGCTCATCGATGTTTCTCTCTCTCTTCCTCCTTCCCACTCTCTCTAAAAATAGAAGGGAAAAAAAAATCTTCAGGTGAGGATTACCAAAACAAAATGAAAAAGAATTAAGTGAGTCAATAATACAAGTTAAACCCGTAAAGCAGTGCTTGTCACATAATAATTGTTCACTAAATAATAGCAATTACTGTTATTATTCCCTACCACGCTCCAAATCAGCTTAGAAAGGGTCTTAATTAAAAGGAGCCTGGCTGGTTTGGCTCAGTGGTTGGAGCGTCGGCCTGTGGACCAGAGAGTCCTGGGTTTGGTTCCCGCTAGGGGCACGTACCCAAAAAAAATAAATAATAAATCCATGGATTGGTATCAGAGAATCTATAAAAATTAAATTTTTATGCAAAATTGTAGGGGTTTGGGAAAAGGTTTGATTTTCCCAGAGAGCTATTGTCTTTGTCTGTTTGGGCTACTATAACAAAAATAGCACAGATCAGGTGGCTTATAAACAATAGGAATTTATTTTTCATAATTCTGGAGTCTGGGAAGTTCAAGATCAAGATGCAGGCAGATTTGGTGTCTGGTGGGAGCCCACTCCCTGGCTTGTTTTGCTGTATCCACACACATCAGAATGGACAAGCAAGCTCTCTGGGGTTTCTCTCTTTTCTTTTTTTGTTTTGTTAGTCCTCACCCCAAAGATATTTTTTCCATTGATTTTTAGAGACAGTGGAAGAGAGGGAGGGAGGGGGAGAGAAAGAGAAACATATGTGAGAGAGGCACATCCATTGGTTGCCTCCCACACATGCCCCGACCCGGGCCAGGGATCAAACCTGCAACCCAGGTACATGCCCTTGACTGGGAATTGAACCCTCAACCCTTCTGTGTGTAGGCCAATGCTCTAACCACTGACCAATGTGGGCCAGGGCTCTTTTTTTTAATTAATTATATTAATATAATTTTCATTAATTAATATAATTAGTTTACTTATATTTTTGAAATATTTTCAGGTATTAATTTCAGGTATATACCATCATGATTTGATATTTGTATGCGGGAGGTCAAAAGGAGGTTTACAGTTGTTTATATGGGAAATAATATAATAATTAATAAATAATAAGAAAAATTATTGCACATAGTCATGGCTATAAACCTACTTTTGCTCCACCCTGTACACTGTGAAAAGATTATGATAAATCTAGTTAATATCTGTCACTGTACATAGTTTTTTAAAATTGGGGGGTGGTACCTGTTTTATAAGGGCACTAATCCCATTCTATTTTTTTTTTTTTTTAATTTTTTTTTTTTTTATCCTCACCCGAGGACATTTTTCCATTTTTTGTTCAGATAGAGTGGGAGGGAGAGAGAGGAAGACAGAGAGAGAGAAACATCGACATGAAAGGGACACATCGAGTGGTTGCCACCTGCACGACCAACCAGGGCCTGGGACAAAGTGCAACCGAGGCACGTTCCCTCAGCGGGAACCGAACCTGGGTCTCTCTGGACCCCAGGCCAACGCTCTAACCGCTGAGCAAAACTGGCCAGGGCATTAATCCCATTCTTGAGAGGCCTACCCTCAATGACCTAATCACCTCCCAAAGGCCCCATCCATGCTATCACCTTGGGATTAGGATTTCAACATACAAATTTGTGGGAGACTCAAGCATTCAGATCATAATATCTGTGTCTCCAGAAGGGGTTGAATTCATTTCTCAGGACACCAGCAAGGGAGGCGGGGGAGAATGGACAGCAGCAGGTCGGACTTTAGGAGGAGGGACACACAGGGACATTTGGTTGAGGACTGCTCCGTGCTCTCGTTTCCATATTGGCAAACCCAGATGTCGAGTCAGTGAGGACCACTCAGGTCTGGGATTGAGGATAAGCTTCAGGCTTTGGGGAAGGCCCCCCACATCCTCCTGGCTGTATGTTCTTCATCCAACTCTCAGGGTCTTGGTTGCTTTCTGTAAAATGGGATTTCTGGGATTATCTGGGGGAGTTTGGGGGCTCTCACCGACAATGTGAGGGACACCCCCAAAGGGTTGCTTAGGTGAGATTGGCACCTGGGGATGGAGGGCCACACTCTGAAGCTTGAAGGGTAGCAAGATGACCTTCTGCCCTGTCCTTCCAGTATACAAGGCGGATGTGGCACGCCTGGTGGCTAGGCAGGACCACACAGCTGAGTGGAAGTCAGTGGTCATCTTGGTGCCTGTGCGCCTGGGTGGCGAGACTCTCAACCCCGTGTACGTGCCCTGTGTGAAGGTAGGTTTAGCCAGAGTCACCATGCCTTCCCTGGGAGTTCTCCAGGTTTTCTTAGCTTGGGTTAGTTATATGTACTTCCTTCACTCCGTCTGTTTATCCAATAGTTGCAGGGCACCTGTTGTGTGCCAAGCACTCTCCCAGCTGCTGAGGATTCAGAAGTGAACAGGCAAAAATTTGTGTTCTGGGAGTAAACATGACAGGCAGTGGATCTGGAACCAAATATACAGCCTTGGCATTACAACTCAGACTATAAACAAATGAAAACTAGTGATGAAGGTAGATGGGAGTAGCTGCACAACCTAGGAGAAAGCCCCTCTCTTGCCCGGGCATATGAAGAGCCAGAGGAGGAAATGTTCCAGGCAAAGGGAACAGCAAGGCTGGAAACACCCTGGTGTGTTTACACTCAGAATAAAGGCCAGAGATCTCCCCACAGCCCACAGGACCCTGTACCTTGTCTCTTCCTTCACCTCATTTGCTCCCTCTCTCCTCACTTGCTCTGCTGCACTTACATGGGCCTCCTTACTGCTCTCAGAACACACCTGCCTCAGGGCCTTTACACTTACTGTTTCCCAAGATACTGAAACATCTTTACTGAAATATCACCTCCCAATGAGGCCTTTCCTGACTCCCATTTATAATTTCAAAGCCCTCTCACCACCTTTATTCTTTTTCCAATGTAATCACCTTCCAACACAGAAGTCACTCATGTTGTTCCTTGTTCATCTAACACATGTCAGATCCACGAGACAGCGCCTGTCTTGGTCACTGCTGCTCCCCAGGGCCCAGCACAGGCGTGGGTTCATACAAGGGTGTTTACTAAGCACTTAAGGGACTGTCTGACAGCTCCTGTCCTGCATCCTCACCTTTGCCCACTCTCCTCCCTGTAGGAGCTCCTGCGTTCAGAGCTGTGCCTGGGCATTATGGGAGGAAAGCCACGGCACTCACTGTATTTCATCGGCTACCAGGGTAGGCCTGCCCCACCCCATTCCACCCTACCTCACCTTCCCCTTCCCTACCCCCACTTATACCTCTTCCCCTGCAGATGACTCCCTGCTCTACCTGGACCCCCACTACTGCCAGCCCACTGTGGATGTCAGCCAAGCTGACTTCCCCCTGGAGGTGAGCTGGAATCTCCGGGGTGGGGTTGGGGGCATGTGGAGGAAGCTGGGGACCCCTGAGCTCCCCTCCTTTGTCTGCCTCAGTCCTTCCATTGCACCTCACCCCGCAAGATGGCCTTCACCAAGATGGACCCAAGCTGTACTGTGGGGTTCTATGCTGGAGACAGGAAGGAGTTTGAGACACTGTGCTCAGAGCTGACCAGGGTGAGCAACAGGGGTGGTGGTGGATGGGGAAAGTCAGGGCTGGAGTGGGAGAACAAACCTTAAGGTCAGCAGACCTGGGGAGGTTACTTCCAGGCCCACAAGTTACAAAAGCCAAGCTCTGAATAGACACCAAAAGGGGGCAGGCGTAATATGAAAAGTTAGGGGCTTTGCTGCATTCAGGATTTTAAGTGGCAGGACTCTTCCTGTTTCTTGGCTGTACTGTCCCATCAGGGCTTTAGCCTCATGGTGGCAAGGGTTGGCTGTCTGTCTCTCTGGGTACCCACCTCCCAGCTCAGTGGAAAGGGAACCCCACTTTCCCAGCACACAGTAAAAATCCCAGGGCTGCCTTTCATTGCCTGCAGTAGGTCACATGCTCATCACTGGGTTAGTCACTGTCCTGGGGAATAGAAGGTATTGATTGGCTGGCCTGGGTCATTGCCCTAGAGGGATAGGAGTTGGGTACAGGAAGCACCTTTTAAATATACCTGTTAGATAACTATGCCTACAGGATATGTAACTGTGAGTACTGCTTGGAATTGAGCTACTCTCTCCCTCCTCCCACCAGGTCCTCAGCTCTTCCTCGGCCACACAGCGGTATCCCATGTTCACCCTGGCTGAGGGCCATGCTCAGGACCACAGCCTAGACAACCTCTGCTCCCAGCTCTCCCAGCCAACTCTGCAGCTCCCTCGTCCTGGGCGGCTCCTCAAGGCCAAGCGCCCAAGCTCTGAGGACTTTGTGTTTTTATAATGGGACATGAGTGGGGGGAGGCAGGGACGAATTACAACTGAGGTACGTGTCCTTGGCCAGAATCGAACCCGCAACTCATTGGTCCAAGGGCTGACGCTCTAACCGCTGAGCCAAACTGGCCAGGGCCACTATTTATTTTTTTATTTATGTCACACTGGATGTGCGAGCTTGAACTCTGGTGTTGATGGTATTTCCTGCTTCTCACCCCCTTGATAAGTGCAGCTGAGACCAGCCCAGGAAACCTCCAGGCTGGGGCCATTGAGCCCAGGGGCGGAGTCCACAGGCTTGCCTCCTACCATCTCGGTCCTCCTCACAAGGCAGGGAGAGAGGGGTAGTAAGCATACTCCCAGGTACCCACTCAGGACCTGACTCAAGTACTGTAGTTTGCACTGGAATACCTATGCCCCTCACTGGTCTCATAGCCCGTCCTGCTAAGGACTAGTGGCAGTGGGAACTATGGCTGATGGGGGCCAATAAAGCTGTCTGACTTGACCTCAGCTATGGCAAAACCCAGCATTTGAGAGATGGGACCCAGGATATATCTAAGGATGAAGTGTCCAAGTCTTCTGGGGAGCTTGTTAAGTAGGCCGCAGCTTCCACATCTGTAAGATGAGAATTCTTCCTTGCTCACAGGGAGACATGCAGGCTATACAGTCAACAAGAGGATGCCTTCAGGGACTTAAAGGGAAGGAACCTGGGGGCCGTTGCCTGCTCCATGGAACTCAAGGGAGCTCTTGGGCTCCTGTTGCTTCCTCCGTTTCCGGCCCAGCAGGCGGAAGTGCAGCCTTTTTGGATTGAGGCCAAAGGCCTGCAGTCTCTGGCGGCTGAACTCCTGTCCTCGAAGCATCACTGTGGGGCCCAAGAGACGAGCTTTCTTGCCCCTCCTCTGCCTCTGGGGGGCTGGCTTCTCAGTGGGTGACACACGGGCCACCTCTTTCTGTGTTGGGGGGCTCTCAGGCTGGGACTGCTTCCTGCAGGTCCCATCGGATGCCAGCAGCTGCCCCTGCGGGCTGGCTTTGTCTCTCTGTGGCTTCCCTGTGGCTTCCGTGGGCATCTCTGTCCTGGAGGAGGAAAGTCAGAGTTCAGCCCAGGCCTGTATAATTAGGTCCCTTCTTGAGTGCACATTCCCCCTTTCACAGAATGGCTCAGAGAGATGGCAGTGAAGCAATTTGGGTGCCTGCCTGGAATTCACACTGGGGTCTGACACCAAAACGGGTTTTTCTACTGAACCCTGAGGCTGGACTGTGTTGATAATTCTGGTATTTTAGCCTGGGCTTACACTAAGCTATTTACGTAAATTAACTAATTTCATCTTTACAACAACTCTGGGAACTACTATCACCCCTACTTTATAGACCAGGAAATAACATGATAACAATTGCTAAAGTCTATATGGCACTGTTTTAAGCACTTCACATGAATTTATTCACTTAATCCTAAAAAAAAAAAAAAAAAACAGTAAGAAATTACCTATCTTTATCCCCATTTTATAAATGAGGAAACAGGTCCTGAAAGAAGTGACTTGCCCAAGGTCACATGGCTGTAGCCCAGTCAGGATTTGAATCCAGGTCTCAGTGAGGGGGAAGGCCCAGTCCCAAAGTTATGCAACAAATGGCTGACAGAGCGAGACTCAAACCCTGGCCTGACAGACTCCCCAGCCCGCCCTCTCTTGATAAGCAACACTCACTCCTCTGGGCAGAGCGATTTGAAGATCTGCCTCTTTTTCCATGAGTTCTGGGCCTTCTGGTTGTATACCTTCTTATCCTGCAGCTCCTCCTGCTCCGACCTTTGGGTGCCCAGCAGACATGTCATTGGGTGCTTTGGGAGGCACATGCCTGCCTGCCTGCCCCTCCTCCCAAACACCTGGCCCAGCCCCACCCTGTCACCTATACATGCAGGTCTTCTTCAGGGAGCACCACCGGTTCAGCTCCTTGTCATCAGCAGCAAGGATCTGCATGGAAAGGGAGAGGGGTCCTGTTGCAAGAGCTCTGGGGGAGAGTGGGAAGGTGCACACTGACTCTAAGCCCTATTAGTCACCTCATCAGTCAAAGGGTAATGTTAGTACTACTCAGCAGGGATGTCATGATGGTGGGAGAGAACTGATGTCTGAAGAGGCTAATCCTATGTTTTTTTGCAGAGAACATCAGATGGGGAAACAGGTTCAAAAAAGGGTTCCTTGCCCCAAGTCACACAGCCAGGAAGTGGCTGATTTCACATTCAGGGCCCTGTAGCCCTCACCCATGCACCGTGGTCTTAGCAGCCTCAGGGCAGGGGTCTCTGTGCCAATCACTAGATTTGTGAATTACAGATGAGGCCCAGGTTCTCAACCCCTAGGGTCCTGCCTCCAGGCTCCAGTTTCCTCATTTATGAGGTGGGCATCCCCTCAGAACCTATTGGAAGGTCGCCAAGAAGGTTGAGTAAATGCAGATAGCATAAGTTCAATAAACATCAGCTTTTTTTTTTTTACTGACCATGAATAGTCAAGCACCCACCGCCATCATGGATGGCTAAGTGACAAGTGGCATCTAAAGAGCCACAATTCATACTCTGGTTTCTCTTCAGATCGCATAAAGAGCCACAATTGTTTCAGCTCCACAGCCATGAGGTGGGGACTGTTATTAGGCTTGTTTTATAAAAGGGAAACTGAGGCACAAAGCCTTAAGTCCAAAGTCACACAGCTGGTGAGTGGCTAATGCAGGATTTGAACCCAGGCCATTTGGTTCCAGAGCCCACCTAGTTTTATTTTATTTACTTAAAAAAAAATTTTTTTTTTTTTGGTGGGTTTGTTTTTTGTACATGCCCTAGCGGGAACCGAACCCGGGACTCTCTGGTCCACAGGCCAACACTCCAACCGCTGAGCCAAACCGGCAGGGCTATTTACTTAAAATTTTTTAAATTTATTATTATTTCTTTTGATCCTCATCTGAGGATATTTTTCCATTGATTTTTTTAGATAGAATGGGAGGGAGGGAGGGAGGGAGGGAGGGAGGGAGGAAACATCAATGTGAGAGACACACATCAATTGGTTGGTTGATGGCCTTCTGCCTGTCAGGGCCAGGGATTGAACCCACAACTGAGGTACGTGTCCTGGACCAGGAATTGAACCCATGACTCTTTGATCTGCGGGCCGACATTCTAACCACTGGCAGGGCCAGAGCCCACCTAGTTTTAATGGCCACCCTGCTACATAGATACAGTAACAGAATTAAAGGAATAGTTGACCCTAGAACTACATGGGTTTGAACTGCACGTGTCCATTTATATGTCAATTCTTTTCAAATATATTTTCTCTTCCTTATAATTTTCTTAATATTTTCTCCAGTTTACTTTATTGTAAGAATATAGTATATAATATGTGTAATATACAAAATATATGTTAATCAACTGTTATGGTATCAGTAAGGCTCCCAGTCAACAATAAGCTGTTAGTATATTCGGCCTTCTGCATCTGCGAGGTTGAATCCACAGATGTGAAATTCACAGCTATGAAGGGCCAACTTTCAACTGCACAGGGGTCAGTGAACCTAACCCCAATGTTGTTCAGGGTCAACTGTAATATTTGCAAGGCACTGTTTGAAGCCCCCCACCCCCATCTGACAGCAACCCTTCGAGGCAGGAAATATTAGTACTGTCATTAGCACTATTATTCCTGTCATTTTTATAAGAGGAAACAGGTCATTTGGCAGCAACCACTGGCTCTATGCTGCCTCTTGCCTCTTGCATGACTCCCAGTGTCCCACGCCCACCTGGGGTCCTACCTCTTCAGTGCTGAGCCCAAAGTCACAGGGCACCACAGTGCGATACTTGAAGCGACAGGGCAGGTCGTCGATGATGTCCTCATAGTCTAGCCGGTAGTACTCATCCAGGTATTCCTCAAATGTCTTGTCCCCTGAGTGGGTAGAGAGCCAGGCTGCTGTGGTGTGCTGGCCCTGCGGAGCCCCTGCTCGCCCACCACATGCCCACCGGGGCCTCACTGGGGTTGAACACAGGCTTTTCCTGCCCCACAGCCACAGCAAAGGGCGACTTGCGCTTCTTCTTGCCAGTTAAGGGGGCCTCACGCTTCTTCTTCTGCGGCTGGCTGGGGTCATAGTCGGCATCCATCTGCCAGGACACGAAGGTCAGGCCAGTCCTCATAGTCCTTGGGACTTTCTTTACTTTTTTTGTGTGTGTGGTACGTGCCCCTAGCGGAAACCGAACCCGGGACTCTCTGGTCCATAGGGCAATGCTCCAACCACTGAGCCAAACCAGCCAGGGCGCCCTTGGGACTTTCAAAGGCAGCCCCAACCCTGTCCATGGCACCTACATTGAAGTCTGGGTCTTCGCAGTGCAGTTCCTGCTGGCTCCAGTCTCCACCCTGCTCCAGCCCAGTCCACGTGTCCCAGTTCCAGTGGTCTGGTTGCAGAAGACAGACAGGCAGGGATGGGCCCAGTGGCTCAGAATGGGACTCAGGCTTTAGGCCCAGCACTCCCACCCCTGCCCAATGACCTCACCTTCAAGCCCTTCCTCTTCTTCAAATTGTGGCTTCTCCTCCTCCATCGTGCCATAGTACTCGTCTCCAAAGCATTTCTGTAGGTCCAGGGACTGGGAAGGTCAGCAGGGCCCAACCCCTCCCAGACAGCTTTACTCCTGTACCTTACATGGCTCCCTAGTACCATCTCAGGACCCAGCTCCTGATGTGGGCCTAACAAAGCCAATCAAAGGACTCCTCTAAGACTCCACCTCTCCCTGCCTGACCCTATCACCACTCAGAACCCTGCAGGTTGTAATCATACAGTTAAATGCCTGCCTCTAAGTTGGGACTCTGAGAGGACAGGGACCTCTCTGCTGCCTGGTGCTTAGCATGTAGTGGGTGATCAATGAGTGTTAAACTGTTTCTCACCACTCCATGAGCTCCAAGAGGGAAAAACCCAGTGCCTAGTGCAGGGCCTGGTAAATGCAGATATTGCTAAACATGTTATTTATTGAGCACCTACTATATCTCCAATACTGGCTACATCTCACTTTTGCACAAGCACCCCAAGACAGAAAGTACCTCCAGTCTATAGAGAAACAAGCCCAGGACTGAGAAGTTTCTAGAAAGTGAAGGCTAAATTCCAACTACATAGCACC